AATCAAAAAGTACATTCAGAAAGCACAAAAATCAATTATCAATTCGGCTTGAAAAGCACATTGTAACAGTATATTAATTGGTAATTAAACTCACGTTAATTTATGAATAGAAATCTGCGCGCTGCAATTATCTTGAAATAGGAAATTATTGATTCTCGCGGAACATTCCTATATTCCTATATTATGTAATTTGATAATGGAATATTAATATATTCTTAATTTCCTATTTTTTTGAAAGAAATTTCCGTCCTCTTTGTTCACTTATTGTTTAATTGTTTCGCAAAAATTATTAAAAGAAAATGATGAATTCATGAAAATAAATATTTTTGTTTCCCCTAGATAGACATATAAAATATATGCTAATAAAACTTATTCATCGGTATAAATCGATACTTACATTTCATTACGCTTATAATGTTGTATGTAATAATACAAAATTCACTGCACAAACAGCAATGAAAAATGGAACAGCATTAGAAAACGGAAGAAGCAACGCCTATAAATTAAGCATTCAACTACAATTTAGATGGTCTCATCTGTGTTACGTAACGATACTCGTTTATCATAATGCGTGCAAAGTCTGCCTACGTTTATTATACTTATCCGATGAAAATCATAACAAAAGTCTCCATAAAAGATACTATCTTGATGCAGAAGCGTCTGAAGCTCTTTTTATATGACGTCAATGTAAATATCTTTGATCAATTTATATTATACTTCTTAATTCGATTTCTAATTTTATCTTTAAAACAAAATAAAAATAAGCAAATATGAAGCTTTGAATTCTTAATTTCAAACTTTCAAACTAAGCGAAATTATCGTGACCTTTTCCAGTACGGAATTCTCGCTCTTCAATTTTATCTTTCGCTTTTACATATAATCTTTAATTAAAGTTCTCATTTTTGCGAAAAATTTAAATTTAAATTCGGACGTGTGCAAAAATTAAACTACTTCCTCTTGATTATAAAAATAGTCAAGTCAATGTAAGATCTTTTTGGCTCGATAAAAAAGTTCCACATTTTCACTTCCATTTTCTAAATACGTTTGACGCGTACCGGACTGATATTATAAAATCCAATCAGAGGAAACCGACTTGGTTCACGAATCGAGTTTATCCTAAATGAGATTACATTTTTTTGTACTTCTTGACGCAATTAACGTCGGCCATCGGACAACTACATGCAGCCTGCCAGACGCAACGCTCGGCCACGTGCAATTGAGTTACGCTATCCATCAAACTCGCAACAGCGGCATGGTCGCATTACCGGATCGATCTGAATTTTAAAGTATTACGTGCGTCTATTATCTTCATTCTTGCGCAGCTAATTTTCAAGATTAAACTTCAGATCGTTTAACGCTCAACATATCAAGCATAAACGTGTCAATATGATCAATCTAATGCTACGTATAAAAATACTACTCTTGTTTAATATCCTGCAAGTATGGAACAAATGTACCGTACGATTTATCTCGACTATTTAATGTAAGCTAAATAAAAGGATTAATTATGTTAGTGAAGTTACGTAACATCAAAATTGAGCAACAATGAATGATAAAATAATACAATTTTTTACAAACTAATTTTAAGAAGAAAGATATAAATTTTATTATGAGATGTATGATTTTTGACAAACATGCGTAAATAAACTGCTTTTTAACCACGTTAACTACCACTATTACACAGTGAATTTGCTGCAAGCAATAGGTCATCATTTATCAAACAATTTCTCTGCAGGATTTGCATTTATAGCGATTAGAGATGCAATTATAGTCTATTTTGCGTGAATAATGTATCTCAGAATGTGTCATCAATGAAACTAATACTTTTTCCTGGACTTTAATATTCTAAAAGCTGCGAAGACAAGTTGAGATGTCGACGAGTTTTATGATGATACATCGCCAATTATTATAGTTTCTGGAAGTTCAAATCTCGTTCAATTTCTCAATCTTAAATAAACTTCTATAAAATTTTAAGACTGATAGTGGCAATATTAAAGATTTACGATGCATGCTTTTAATTATATCTCGGTTGAGAAAAATTCACAGATACGAAAAGAAAGCGTCGAGACACATCGTGTTATTTAAAACAATTGTATCACGTCGAGTTTCGGAGGAACGTCAAAATAGCGGCGGGGCACGCCAGATAACATCTAACTATAAGATTCGACTTGGTCGACGGACTTGTTGTTCGCTGTATTTTATTTTCGTAAACGAAAGACGATACTTCGCCGCGCACTCGCCTATTTTGTAGCTCCGCCTTAATCCCCGCGTAATGTTTACTGCGAATATACATACACGTGAACAATCCCGAAATCCCGAAATCCTGGACGATCCACATTTCGCATGCGCGCGCGATTAAGGACTTTTCCATTAGGATCGGCACCGCAAACTGTATTAAAACCACTCAATGTTTTCAAACAGCATGGAGTAACTTTAGCACCTTTTTTCTCTTCATATTCTTTTCCTTCATCAATTTTGCACGTTTGTGACGCGGAAGAAATGTAAGAGGATCAAGATTATAATATTAGCGATGTCCCATTTTTAGTTCGTCACAAGCGAATATGTATTCCTGCTATAAATTTTAAAAGAGACTTACTTCTTTTCACGCGAAAATCTCTAAGAAGCGAATAAGCATATCACGTAAAGCAGATAATTTATCTCTGCAAATTCTCGAGGCTCGATCTCCGGAGGCGGAACGTCCGGTGGTATTTCGACGGGCGCTAACCTGCGGCGTGTTATGCGAAAATAAATCCGAGACACGTGCTCCTCCTTTTACCAGACCTTTATCAGACCATGAGATTATCGAACAGGATTAATTTTGCAGTCGTTAAATCGACAGAAGTTGACACAAAGTGAAGCAAAAGATGCCAAACGATGCCAACGGTACATATTGATATGTATTTCGCTCAATTAATCGCGTTACTTCGGCAATCCCAATTTAATTTAACCACGATATTTATTCCACGGTATTCAATCAAACATACTTTTTGCAATATTAATTCTGCGGAATTGAGAACATCAGAACGCGTATAGTCGTGTTATATGGATTTGTATTGTAAATGTATAAAATATAATTTTTATGAAATTTTATTATGAAAAATTTATAAGTCGTGCATTGAATCAATATGATTGAGCCAAAGCAGTTTTTAAAATTTCTAAAATTTTATTTTATTGTTCTATTTTTCTTTTCAAATTAATTATGTTTGTCTCCGAAGAAGAGAGAAAAAAGATAAAAATATATTTAACACAAATTTACTAATATAATATCATAATAGTTTATATATTTTCCATTTTATCGAATATATAATTTTTGTAAATTTTATTACTAATATCTATATTATCATTTTAAATTAAATTTTTATAACTTTTTACTTACTTTTACACGTACAAAAATTTCATATGAAAATCTAAGCTTGTTAAAATAATAAATGTTCTATTACAATATATTTGTCATGATCCATTGACGTGTTGATTAATCGTATTATCGACAGGAATTAAGTTTGGATGCTATCGCAAAGAATTATTATTCCAAATCTCAAGCGCGATTGAATCTTTGACGTCAGCATAATTCGGGTCGTTTCCCGAAATACATACGAGCGACAGTGATTCGATCAAGTGGTTTGTCGGCAACGGAAATTGAAATGTCGATGATTAAACGTTTCTGATTACATTATTGTAAACTATCGACAGATATGCACGTCATAAGCGATCTTTCCAAAGTGAAACAACACAAGCAGCATCACATACAAATGATTATACGCGGTTCTGATAGTAGTAATTTAATCTCGAGAAAATACAGACAATCTTTTGGTCGTATTACGTACGACTATGACAAAAAAGATACTTTTGAGATACAAATCAGAAGGCAAACCGGAGTAAAAGTCGATTTTTTAATTCAATCTTCTGTATATCTAATTACGCGCGTAAAGGCTACCTTGCGCGTAATTAGATATATGCGATTTACGCGACGTAGGTAGATGTAGAGATGGCGAAATGTCGAGAAACGATTCTACGACACATGCGTAATCATCATTGAGAGAAAACTACGGCTCCGAACACGTGCACGAGGAGACGATGGCGGTGGTAGCCCTCGCGCGATGGTGGGGACGAGTAACACGCGTGGCACACACGTATCAAGCTGATAAAGGCACTTTTACCCGTGCTCTTCGCACCGCAGCGGTGAACAGGCATGCGTTATTTCCGCGAGCGCGTTACGCTATCGCTTCCGTGCCGCGCGTGCTACGCGCAATAACGCGCAAATACCTACATAAGTTCGTTCTTTTAGTTGAACTTCTTTTTGCACCGCTCGTATTTCTTCTTCTTCTCTCTATATTGGAGGAAAAAACAGGAAAAGAATGAAGGATGCAAAAAATTCAATTAAAAGAACAAACAAACCTATATCGAAGCATTTCGCAATTACCACTGTGTCTTTTCTCTTTTTTCCTTCAATCTGAGTTTGATTTTTCTTCGATTGAACATTCGAAATTATTCGAAAAACAAGAATGTTAATTAACAAGCCTCATGTTTTAAATGCACTTTGAGGCGCAATGTTGATCTCCAGGACTTAATTGCGGAATGATTAAGTCGTATTAAGAAAAAAATATAGCCGATCCAATGGAGATAAGGAAAAGACGAAAGGAACGAGAATGACGATTATTCTAAAGCATATTGTATAGTTCTCATGCGATTGCATGAATAGCATGTTAAAAAAGTTGCACTCTTTGAGAAGAATCGTTCTTTCTACAGGACGAAGTACACGACTCGTTTTGCTACTTAATTTTTTTTTAATCTACATAATTCCTAATATATATGCAATATATGCATATATATATGCAAATGATTCATGAATGTTTTATAGACTACTTTAATGTGTGAACATTAAGAATATTATACGCGCTTTTTAAATATAAATTGTCGAAATGACAAGTATACAAATGAATAATTCCCGTATTAAAAATTTTAGAATTCAAATATACAAAAAAGAGAAATATATTACTTACCGTTGAGACCATACTTCTCCTGATTTCTTTTGACTTGATCGGGAGACAGTCCGTGGTCAGGATCGACGTTAAAATAATTTATTACTTCTTCCACAGTTTTACAATGGCCGTCCTCCATGATTACTGCTTCGTAGATGCTTCACTAATGTTATCCTCTCAGTGATTGTGTACGTTCATTCACACTGACAATTTCTAAAAATAGACAAAATTATTTGTCAGATAAAATATTTATTACACTGCTTATTGAAAATAAGTAATAAAGAATAACAGAACGGAGTATAGTTTAAAGAATTACTTTAGTGTAAATGAATTTTGAGTGAGATTTTTGGCGTAAAAGAATAGCATAATTATATATCAATGAACTTTTATGAACAGAAGTTTATTCAGGCTGAATGAAATGATTGAAAAATTGATAAAACTAATGAAGACTGTCAAAGAAATTATTTCTAACATGTTCCTAACATAATTATATTTAACTTATATTCATATTTAAAACTTTCAGATATTTGAAATATAAGATCATTTTTGTCTTTTTTCAAAATGCCAAGTCATGAAACAAAAAATTTTAATAACTAATTTTTTTTGCAATATTCACAGACCTTTAAATTTTTATATATGTTAGCAATTACTTTTATAACAATTTTTTATATATTATTTCTTTTGCTATCTTTCAAATAGTTTTGTAAAAAAAAAGATCTAATCTTTTCAATTATTTATTTAAATGTAATAATAAACGTGTGCAAAAATTTAAGAAATAAATGTTCAACAAAGAAATTGAGCTTTTTTAAAAACTTCTGATTCAGGAGGTAGAAAATTAGTCCTTGGCAATATCCCTCGCGATATCTTTTTCTAGAATATACTTCCAGTCACATTGTGTTCGGATAAAAGAAGCACAAAGGAAAAAGGGGACTTTATCGCTGCATAACCCATGCACAACGTGTCTCAACAAAAAGAAATTACTAAAGATGTAAAACTTCGCTATTGGAGAACCCGTCGGAGAGCCCGCCGTAAATTTATCACGCACCACGTAAATGCTACGGGAACGAATGCGTGGAAGGAATGAGAAAGACAGAGAAAGAGAGAGAGAGAGAAAGAGAGAGAGAGAGAGAGAGAAGAGAGAGAGACACAGAGATAGAATAAAGTAAAATAAATTTCAACTACCGAAGGTATCGTCGAAACACAGAGAATTGTCCCACGGTGTTTCACCTCCGCGCAAAATTACGAAACGCGACGGTAGATCCGCGTGACGGGCCACCGATGACGAGGAGAACGAGGACGACGGAAGAAGCGCGGTGCGCACTCCACCGCGATTTCGACTCACTGTTCGGAGCGCGACGTGTCCGCGCGACATGCACTCGCAGACCGTTACAATATCCTCGCCGAGGTTTGTGACTCGCGTTGACGTGCGACGGGCACGACTTGCTCCGTTGATGACGACGTGTCAACGGAGAGCGAGGGAGATAGAGACAGAGAGTGAGAAAGAAACAGACGGAGGGGGGAGGGAGAAAGAGAGGAGACGAAGGTAAGAGAGATGAAGAGACAAAAAAATTACGTTACGGCCGCCGAATATTTAGGTTAGCCGCGCAGCGATGACGACGGCGATAGCGGCGCGGCGTGCTTATTCACGACAAAACTCGCGACAAACTTCACGTTTCACTCACGGAAGCAACGCGCAAACCGTCTCTCTCTTTCTCTCTCTCTCTCTCCCGCGCGCGCGCGCACGAGACGAAGGGAGGAGGAAAAACGTGCCGAAGCGAGTACTACTACTGTCGCTCCCCTGACTGCTGCTACTGCTGTTGCTATTGCTGCTGCTGTTGCTGCTGCTGTTGCTGCTGCGAATCGCTGCACGCGCGAGCTATCACGAAGCGCGGATGCACGAGACGCACGTCATTTTCCCCGGACGATGTGACCAGCGCGATCATCGACTGCCAACCTGACCTCCGCTTCCGCGAGACTGACACCGTGATTCGGGCGAATCATCGTGCGAGCATCAGCGCCGCCTGGCGGCGCGCACTGCCGCTCGCAGACGCGCCGTTGCGCGCAATGCGACGAATTGTGTTTCCGTCAAAGTCGAAGACGGTCGATCGTTCGGTGATTAATCGATGCCGGGATACTGCCACGGCCGTTCCCAGATATCAGTTGACCCGATGATACGTCAGCGAACGCGATACCGCAGAATGCGTCCCGATGGACGGCGTCGCAGCACCCATCGCGCTGACACGCGTCGCGGCGCGTCGCGCCGACAGCGAGCATGTGGAGCAACGTCATTGGCCGAACAGTGCGTGACGTAATGCGGCTATTTTCGGGCTTCTGCTAGGCTATTTCCTTGGCGCGTATTTTAAGATCCCCATCCGGCGACGGGACCGATAGGCGTGTTTGTTCTTACATAATCGCGACGTCGTGGGCAACAGGCCGCCGATTGTACGATTATTGACCGACGTTGATCCTCTAATGCGCTCGTGGATTTCTGTTTCGCGAGGCACGATCAAACGCGGCTTTCGTCACAAAGATCGACGTCGGATAATATAATGAGTTTTCCGAAGATACATTTTTTCCCGCATTATTTCTTTTTTTTTTATTTTAATCTATTTCGAATCTCTTACGTATTAAGCGCGATGCGATCCAGCTGGTTTTTGATTTGGAGAAGACGAAACCGATGGATGTATGACACTCCGCTGGAGAATGAAATGTTAATTCAATTCAAGCGAATGGTCTGCATTATTAACACGTGATACATGACGAAATTATTATTTATATCCGCGCTCGGCGGGAAAGAAACGTTCGCATTCGCGAAATGATGATTGCATCAGAAATACAGGAAGGGAAGTGATAATAATAGGAAGGGAAATGAGCAAGAATCTTTCGATACCGAAAATACTTGCCTATCAATTTAATTTTGAACTTCTCTCTTTCTCTCGCTCGATCGACATGAGATCAAAGTTAACGCGACGCGATCCTAAAATTCATAGGTGTTGAAGCAACTCGACCTTGTGGAGGGAAGCCGAGTCATCTTTCTTCGTAATTGAGAATTTGAACACACGCGATCTTCTAATTGATTTTATCTCTAACGAACTTCGCCAGTCTTTGGCAAGCTTTATGAGATTGTCTTCACGATGTTCCACGAAATTCCTTTGCTTCGAATATTCCTATTTTCCCACATCTATACGAGTGCACGCCAGTGTAGTTAGACGCATTCACTCATAACTCTCGTGACACCTTCCTTACCGCCCCTCATAATCATTGGACATTAACTTCTCCTGTTAGCTCGCAAATTCGAGACGGCACGATCGGAACGAAGTACGCTTAAAGATCTCGCTGGCGAGACTCCAAGAGATGTCTGAAATACGTCTAAAAGCCGCCGGATATTTCAGACATTGTTTAGATGTATTTTATATGCTCCTTGGACTTTTGTCTTTGGACTTTAGACAAAACTCTGAGGAACACTTGTTCGTTATTCGGATGCTTTATAACTAAAGTTTACTGAATTTCTCGCTGCACTAAGTTTCGTTGATCATTAAAAATTAAAATATGATTTTGGATATAGAGGCGTAAAATTGCGACACTGTCTTTTCATAATCCCTTAAAAGAGTCTCTTATAATTTTCCGAATTTGCACGACTAGAATCAATTACAACACGCCTATTAAAATTGTTAATAAGCGGATAAAGTTACATGCTTTCTTCCTGCAATGTTTTTATCAATTAAAGAGTAACTTAAGACTTGGCACAATCGACAGATAAATAAAATATTTAATTGCATGTATCAAAGCTGTGTAATTTCTACATAATATTTCCCTTAAATATCGAGTCTCTCTGTTTGCGAGGGAATATCGCATAATCCCGATAATATCCTATACTCTTAAATATTCGGTAGAGGTTGATCACCTTCGCAAATTCAAGAATAACACGTTCGGAAGTGAAGAACTCGGCGAAGTGCCGGTGGGACATTAATTAAACTCGTCGTATTCAATTCCCACGATACGTTCCGTAATCATTACACGTCAACTTCCGTTAGAGTTGGAAAATGCGGTCAGAGCGAAACAATTCCGCTAAAATGTTGACAAGCGGTTAATTACACACGTCACATATAGCTCCCATGGGATTCTCGTGTATTCATTGACATTTCAAGATCAACACACCAATCCGAAGCAACATCATGAGAATGAAGAGCTATGCTCAACCCTCAACCAGCTCCGTGGAGTCCGTAACACTCCTATCAATCTTCTTGAACATTTCCTTGCCACGATCGGGATTAATTTTTCAAAATAGTATTTTAATTAAGAACGCTAAACTTTTTGCAGCGATTAAGTACAGAAAGCTTTAAGCATTTCGTTAAATCTCTCCTTGAAAGTCTTTAAATCATGCGGCAAAATATGTTAGAAGATAAATTGTGAAGATCATAATGGACCCCATATGATTTTTCACAAAGCTATGAACTTATAACGCTAAATCGATTGTCATTTTGATTTAGCCACTGTTATCGTGTCGTGAATATTACAACAAACGTAATGGGGGAAGAGAGAGAGAGAGAGAGAGAGAGAGAGAGAGAGAGAGAGAGAGAGAGAGAGAGAGAGAGGAGAGAGAGAGAGAGAGAGAGAGAGAGAGA